AATTACAGATACTAAATAGATTCATTCAGTCTATACTGAGTTCTTTATGAATTATGAAGAATAGATACAAACCTATAACATTATTAAAGGCAAAAATAATATCAAACATATAACATCCAAAACTATAAATACATTCCCCATGCTCTTTATAAATAATAACATAGAAACCCTGGGATTTAAGAAGAATGTAAGAGTGGGCTGGAGAAATTTATGAGTTTGGGGTGCAATACTGATCAGAGAGCAATGTTTCCTTCCTAGTAACTTAGGTTCTTACCAGGAAGCCAAAATATATCTGCTGGCAGCAAGATCAAGTTAGATTCACAGTTAGCCAGCTCTTTTCTCAAGTTGTAAAAAACAAATAGAAAAACAATGTACAAAAATTCTCACAAAATTAGTTTTTTATATACAAATCTCTATAGTGACCAGATAATCTGATCTGTGTTGTGCAACACGGGGGTGCAAAGCAGAGGCTTCCCAGGGAGAGGAGACGGGGCAGTTGGGGTCATGTGTAAAATCTGGATGCCAAAGGATGGGTCCCAGAAAGGAATAGATTTCTCTTGGAAGATTAAGCAACCAGAGCACCAGCTTTCTGGTGACACCTCTCAGAAAATTTGCCCCATCGGGAAGAACCCCCAGAGATTGTGCTAGACCAGCCTTCTTCTACCATTGACAGCAGGCCCTTTCCGCGGGTTAAATGGTTGCCAGGAGAAGATGCAGTCCCAGAGGGAGAGACGCCGACTGCAGGGGACGGTGGCAGAGGTGACAGTCAACTGCTGCATTCTAACACTCGTGTGTCTCCAGAGTAACTGGAGACCTGTTGCTACCTGGGCTCTATGTACCTGCTGACTGCAAAGCAGTGGGTCTGTTCAGCAGCTGCTCATAGTCTCAGCACAAGAAGACCCTGTTTACCAACAGTAGGACTTTTAAGAACATCAAAATGGATACTTGGTTTGGAGGTAGAAAGGTGAAGCAAGGTTGGACATAGAAAAAGCTGATCAGTAACTATTCAGGATGTTAGAGTGAATGGAACAATACGAGAATTTCTCTTATTTCTTTATAGGTTCTTATATGGGCAACAAATAGCTAATTTGTTGCTGCTCTTGTGTTGTTTTCTGAACTCTACCTTTTTTTTTCCCAAAACAAACCCAGTGCCACTAGTCCTGGCTTAACATCTCACTCCTTTGAGTCTGAAGCAGTGAGGTCCTCTCTGGCCAGAGTACTCTGCATTTAGCAAGGAAGTGAGCAGCAGCATCCTGCAGCAATCCCAGACTGCAAGAGATGGTTGAAAAGTCACGGCTCGTGACCCACATGTTTACGGACATTTTATCCACCTAGAAACTCCTCCGGCACTCAAGTGGGCAAGGACCACTAGCCCTTTCTTATAAGAAAGAGCTTCTCTACCTGGAATATGCTGGCCACAATAAAAGTGAACCAAGAGGAAAATCTGAACAAGAAATCCACCCAATATCCCTGCATCTGTCCCCAGGGAGCAGACTTGGTCCAGCCCACCAGGGCGTGGGTGTGCGAGTCTGGGTGCAGACAGACAGAGAGGCAGCGAGGGGAGGCATTTCCAGTTGCTGTTATTGTGTAAGTCTTGCACCAGATTTCATAAGTGCATTCAAGATTACTTGCCAGAGGCTCCCAAGTTCCCATACTGGGTCGGTAATTGGGATTGTTTGAAGAAAACCGTGTGTTGTGGGCACTGAAGTGCTCTGTTGCCTCAGCAGGCATGTTGCAAGACCTTAAGGGGAGATGCAGACTTGTCCTGTCCCTGCATGGAGATTCCTGCAGCATTGTTTCCTGAGCTGAATCACTAGTTCTACTGGGAAAGTGAGTGTAAGCAAAGAATTTTTACTTTTGCTTTGCAGTTTTATAAAGGACACTTGCATCTTGCCAATACCAAACTGTGCATTAACATGGCATCTTCTAAGTTTGCTGCAAGACACTGAATGAGGAGAGATTTGAAAGTAACTTTCCCCAAAGAGGATGCAAAAAAATCCAAAATTGAGAATTCATTATGTTGGGCCCCTCAACTTAATATATTAGAAGTAATATTATGTAGTAGTAAGCTTCCTGTGAAAGAAGACATTAAAACAGAGATCATAATGTCACATGTTTTTAGGGTTGGGAGGGGGTTTTATCATTTCATCCAATGCCTTCATTTTATGGGAAGAAACAAAGCTTGGGTGGGTAAAGTGACTTGTCTAAGGTACACACAAAGTTTGGCAGAATCTACGTGACCTGCTTCTCTATCCAAATGTCATGTTCCCAATCATCTGTGTGTCATTACCTGACAATAGCTGCTGATGCTATGAGATTAGATGCTATTTAATGACATTCACTTTATCTCTTCTAAACCAGCACTAAATTGTGTGGTTGTTTACTAAAATGTCTTTAAGCAGCAACAATAATAAGTGGATAAAGAACAGAGAAAAATGAGTGGGATGTTGGGTATTTCTTTTAGGAAAATCATAAGCAAAGGTGGCACAAGCAACTTCGAACTCACTCCACCCAAGGAAGACAATCGGCCTCTAGTGCAACCTGCCTGGGCTGGCACTCAGTGGCCCTTTTCTAGGCTTTAGCCAGAAATGACAGATATTAAGACCATTCATCTTCTCTGACAATTAGATTTGCAAAACTCTCACTTCAGAACACCTTCAGGCTCTATACTTAATCTTCTTAGGTTCCCAGACCCTCCTATTCTTATTCAAGGAGCAAATATTACAAAGGCTGAAAAATCCCATTTGGTCCTTTTTCTTGGTTTAGAGTGAATTCATTTGGATATAAGCAAAGCAACCTCAGACAACTGTGTGGCTCTGATCATTGAAAAGCAGCTAAGACTCCCAGATATATGTGAAAAACTACCTCCATTGGGTGTAACTGCTGAGTACTTTTAGTCATCCAGCCAGCTAAGAGCTGCTGAGACTTGTTTATCCAGAGCCGGAACCTCAGAAGATGATCTCTGAGCCAGTGTGGACCTATTTGGATTTATTGCTATAGTTTCTGGGAAAATATAGACCAGATAGAAGAGTTGATTGTGACAAAAGTTTAGTTATAACATAATGTTTGCTTAGGGGAAAAAAGGGAAGTGTAATATTTGCAAAAACATGGCAGGATTGGGTTTCTTTGGGGAGGCCCAGTTGGTGAGTTATCCAACTCCCAAAGAGATCTTGAGTAGATACATTTGTACATAATACACTTGTTCAAGCATGAGTTCCTCTGTTCAACTGGTCATTGTGATTATTTTCATTACTTAAGAGGTGCTTGTCAGTACCTCTCCCCATGAGCTGAATTTCCCCTAAGCCATTCTCACCTCCCACCATCGAAATCAAGGATCCAGAAGGCATCCGGGCCCCTTTCTGTTGACTTTCATGAATATATAGGCTGTCTAGTAGTTATTGAGAGAAGTCAATATTTATCTTTTTTATAGGATATGGTCACCTTCACAAGCAACAAGAACACATCTGTGCTGTCATACCCACTGGGAAGGAAAGAGTTGAATCTAATAGCCAATGAATTCAGAGTTCTTCACGGAAAGCCTCTCTGTAAGAGGTCTGTGGGATCAAGGCCATCTCCTGATTTTGCCTGCGAGGCGCATCCTCAGAGATCTAAGGTAAATTCTTACCTTGAAAGATAAGCTATTCTTCTCACTCACTGGATATGAGTCACTGAATTATAGCAGGTAATCAAACAATGATTCCACTTGGGTTTCCCAACAGTCAAAAAGTGAGAAGGGAGGGTTGAAGTCTGATTAGCTGTTTTTCTCCTGGACTGATTCCGATTCCTAAGATGAATGAATGAGTCTACAACAAAATGGTAATACCAAAGTCCTGATTTACAGACCTTAGAGGGAGCAGTGCATCTGTGTATGAATTATCAAATATTAATGAATTATTGTAAGCATTCATAACTCTGCTGGCCCTATTAATCTCTCTCTACACATACATACATATACATATGTATGTATTAAACTAGCAGGTAATCCTATTTAGAAAAAGGTTATAAGAGGTATACTCTGGATTTTTTTGTTCTGTTTATGGCACGTATTGCTGGGTGAGCTGGGCATGACATGAGAAGAATGACTGGGACCTATATAAAAACAGAGGATACAGTCACACATGTCAGTTCTTCATAGGCCCTGGAATTTCAGGCTAATCCTGAACTTGAGAAATTGTCTTTTGAAGCTTGGGTTTTTATTGAGTTCACAGATAAATGTAGATAAATCCTAAGTCTATTTAATCTTTTGAAACATTGCATAGTCTCAAACCAGAAAAGCCTGTTGTGTTAAGTTATGCACCTTATTTCTTTCAAATGCATTGCCTCTTTATGCATTTTAGGAAGGGCTGAAGACAGAGCGAACTGGGAAACTGAGTCAGTCTTGGGCAGACTGACCATGGAACCACTCCCTCAAGAAACATGTTAGCATGTACATATGCTAAGCTGGCCTTCCATAGCAAAATACACAAGATTCAGGATACTTCAACTTGGTCCTTCTCCTCACCATAAAAAAGCTCTTGGAAGCACAACTCACAGACAGTCCTTAGCAGCATCATAGTGAAACCCAGGAACTGTCCCATTGACCCACATTTGCTATAAAGATGTTATTTCCACTACTATAGTTCACAATGTTCTTGGCCATCTAGTAAAAATGAAGACCAATGTCAAGAAAAAAAAAAAACTGCTTAATACTGATTTGTAGTGATTCTTATTAAAATAAAAAAAAGGCAAGGTTTGGGAGGCAAAAACAATTGGAATCTCATGTCTCTTCTATGTTCCAAAGGTATCTGATTTGGTAAAGAATTGTCACAAAGGATAAGAAAAAAGGGGATGTGATATCCTTGTAAATAAACCCTCCTCAGAGAACCTGGACTTTACGACTCCTCAACAAAATCTCAGCATTTGTCTGCTGGCCTCGGATGCCCACCCCACTCCCATGTGATTCTACATAGTCCTTTGAGGCAAGTGTGCTTTATTTCTCATTGATTCATGTTCAAGTCCTTAGCAAATTCCCAAGCCCAGCAACCTTACAAAAATACTGTGAGTTATTCCATAAAAAAATGATAGTAGAGGCATTGACAAATGTAGCTTACATAATCATTCAGGATCCACAGCTTGCCCCCAGTTGGCAAGGCACCATGCCAACGCCATGTATATCTTTCGTCCCTCCGGCTTTCACAGCCTTGAAAAGATTCCATCTATGATGTTGGGTAGAGACATCTTTTGTTCCTGCTTCATGGTTCAAGTTTGCCTTGATCTTGCCATAGCAATGTCATCTTTACAGGACTGTGCACATATGTTTGTTTTCTACTTCTTTCCATAGAGGAGACTGGGAAGAAGATTGGCTTTGCTTCCTGCTGTGCCCTGCAAGTGGTTTGAATGTGCTTTGCTATAACATAATAAAAAACTTTCTACACATTAGATGAATAACCATGTTTCATTTTTCTGCTCATCAAGAGAATGGAATTAAAAGAGACACAATCAACACAACTCACCTCCATGTGTGAGGAGAATAAAATGATTAGGCTTTCGAGGCTAATGAGAATATGATGAAAATAATTGAGGGACTACAAAAGGACCCTTATATTTGAAATCCAAACAAGAGTTTGATGGGTGAAACCAAGACAGTGAAGAATAGGTCAAATAACTTCAGAGCTTGATTTCACTATGACAGGTGAAGACAAACCAAGTAGAAACAAATTGGAGTATTAGAATCTGGTTAGAATTTACGTTGACTGTGCTTTCTTTCTTTTGTCTGCATAAGGTGGTTATTTGAAAATTACTTCCTGACCCATTATCAAATGGAGAACAAATTATGAAACATACTTTGGAATTACAAAGGGCAGGGCAGAGACTCCATGGGTGTTATAATCAGCTGCCTGTTAGGTATGGTTCCCACTAAGCCTGTCTTTGAAAATTTGCTTTAAGGAGCATACTGTATGGTCCAAGATTATGGTCCAAGCTCCCTATGAGAGGTAATTGTATTTACCAAACATCGAAGGGGAAGTAGGTCTAGAGGCGTCCAATAATTTCTTGTGCATCACAAGGTGAGGCATGGAAAACACTGGAGGGAATACCTACTGAGTGTCTGCTCATTGCCCCGAACCCCTGAAGTGTGCCACGCTGCTTTAGCTGTGTCCCCTGGGAAAAGAGCATGCACAGTTCTGCCTCCTGAGAGAAAAGGGAAGCTGGCAAGAATGTGTCTTCACTTCAAATCAATTCCTCCAGCAGCATCAAACACTCAAACAGCAATACAAGTGACAACATTAGACAGTTACAAAGCATTATTTGGCAAAGACACGCTCCGTGCCTACCACAGACTCAACAGATCCTCTAAGCCTCAGCTAACAGATTAAGTAAACATAGAAATATATGCATTTTTTTTTTCCTTTTTAAAGAAAGCTTGTTTATATCCTCTTTTACCATAAGACACGCTGGGGAGTCTATTCAAGAATTTGCAGTCATATCCTTATTTTTCACGTTTCCAGGGTTCTTCCTCAGCGCTGCAGTCAGCTGACTTCCCGTTGGCTGCCAGAGTCACCTGAAAGTAATTTCCATCAACACCCACCTTATAGGCCTCCAACTAGAAACCACCCCGTGGGCTATGTGGAGAAGCATCAGACTTAGGGGGTGCGGAGTGGCTTAAAAATTGATAAATTTCAAGTAGTGTTCCTTCCCAGCTGATTGGGAGCTGATCTTGGGTTTCACCACTGATTTGTGAACATTTAAGAGATACATTGATCTTGGGGGATACTGAGGGATGAGGGACACTGTACCAAGTAGAGGATACCTTCTATGATTTTAGGATCGTGGAAGTGTCTAAGGACTATCCATCACCCCATAATGCTGTTCTTAAACAACAGTGCCTGTGTGCTGCTCCACACAACCACAGAGAACAAACCAGAACTAGGCAACTAGTTGTCCTCATGCACGTGAAAGGTTCAGTTGCAAAGAGGCCAAGTGGATTTTATTCATGTCCAATTTTACAATAAAAAATCATGATGGTTTGACTCCACCAAATGAACTCTCCAGGTTTTAAAAATGAAAAGGGAGAGGATTTGAATCTGAGATCAGCAACAAGAAGGTCTAAACTTATTTCAGTGAAGACATGTAGTGACCACATAGAATGGCCAGATGGTTTGTACTCTGCTTCCCTGGCTGTAAGTGAACTGAACCTTTACACAGAATGGGAGGCTCCCCTCCACTTCTAAGTGGTTTTCCTAGCTTACCTTCCATCTGTCTGTCCTCAACGTCATGTGCAAACTTAAACCCACGACTGATATTCCACATAATGGAGAGACTGGATTTATGGAAGCATTAGAACATGAAGACATGACAAACGCAGCAATGTTTGAAAGAAATCTGGCCTTCTTCTTACCCAAGTGGAAGTGACACGCATGCATTAGGGACACACACAACATGCTAGAAAAGGAAAACTAAGGGCCCTTCACAAACCAAGCAAGTGAAAATAAAAACTATTCATTCCTCCCATTTCCATACAGCCCCCACATTATTTTTTACCAGCAAGACCATGCAGCAAGCAAGACTATAGTGCATGCTGTTATTCTGATGAAAACAAAAAACCTAGGTATCATGACAAACTACCATTACAAGACAAGAGTTTGAAAATAAAGAGATCCAAGTGATGTAACAATGCTTGAAGCAGTTCAAGTGTTGACCAGAGCTACAGCAAATTTGCTTTCCCTGAAGTGAACCATCAGGAAACATGGCAGGGACAAACCCATGTCTGTTCAGCTTGCCCCTGTGTGAATCTATCTGTTTTTTAGTGATGACCCAGATTAAGAGCCATGAAAAATTGCACATCACAATTTTGGATTCCTTTGGAAAACCCTGAAGTACAGATGGGAGGTGGTTTTGTGGTTGTTTTAAATACCGGCGCTATTTAAAAGTAGCTGGGACAACCTTTTCGTTTTGTTTTTTTCATTTCATTTTCTGGACAGGTAATAAAGCTGGGACCCCTCTCCCCAATAGAGTCCACCCATCTCTGTAATAGAAAAGAAAAAGGGGATACGGACTGATAGTAAGCGTTGATGTTTCCCATCTCAGGGTTTAAAGCAAGGAGATGGGGAATGGACCAGAAGAAAGTTCAAAGGCATGAATAAATGTGACTCAGGTATTCTGGGAAAGTGTGCAAATTTACCTCCACAGTCCTGACTACCTCCTTTGCATATTAGTGTCAACTCGGTCAAGAGATCTAAAGTGAGGAGTTGGCTTGCCTCACCTAGCAAAGGTTAATGACCAACTCACCACAACTGAGCTGAAACCATCACTTCATTGAAAAAAGGCAAATAGCGAGGTTAGCTATGAAATCAACAAAGCCATTTTGTTACTTCCATAACCTTCTCAGTTTGACTAACTGACCCTCTAAAGGCTAATTCAGAATTTGCAGATGGTTGGTTGAGTAGCCAGTTATACTGAGAATGAGCCACTAAGTACAAAACTGTAGAGCCAAAAAAGTTGGCTGAAATAAAGTCTATGGTCAAGATAACAAAAAGACACAAATATTTAAGAGCACCTGCTATGTGCCAGGCACTGTCTGAGGCCCCAGAACACAGCAGTGATAAATGGGGACACAATATCACTCCTTGGGGCCTTACTTCCTAATATTTCCCTGTAGGCTTTGAATAGTTTTGCTCAAAAAAATGAAGCAAATTTTTCCTGATGAGTTTAAAAAATCAACTCAAGAAGTCTGAAAGCTAATGGTATCCACACCTACCCATCTTCTTTACATTATGTCCTATACTATTTTGTTAAGAAGCTTCTTGAGAAGTTCCAAAAGGACCATACCTATCTAACCACATTTAATTAGTTACTAGGATTTTTTTACATATACATTTGTGAAATTTAAAAATACACATGATATCTTGTTTGTTTCATTTGTTTCATATTATATTCATGTTATATCACATTCATATTATATTCATATATTCATTTGCTTATATTATTATTTTTGCTTGTATTGCAGTCATGTGGGTTAAAGCTTTATCTCTACTACAAAACTGTACATTCATTTCGCTGTCCTCTAGTACCTCATTTAGGGTTTGAAGATAATGGAGACTCAATAAATACTTGATGCTTGGTGAAAATCTAGGAGATCATAGGAATGAGATAGGGCACTTAAATAAACATAATAAATACCTTTAAAATATAAGAGGAGTCACTGACACAAACATTTTGATGGGTGCTAATCCAGCACAATCATTCAGATGCAGGACACGCTAGCTTTCAGGAGAATGAAATATGGCCTTAGGTACATCTGAATGTCAGGTAATTTGAATCATTTTCACCAAGGGTCAATTAACTATATAATTGCCTTTTAGTGGGTGGGGTCTTTCCTAATTTATATCATAGCCCTGGTTCACCCATACATGTACCAATTTTAAAGGGGAAGAGCAAAAGACTGTGGCTGGTCCATAAGAATTCTAGATATTTGTTATAGTCCAGTAAAGAAAATTACTTGTATCTCATTCTTAGTTGCCTCACAGAAGCCATGGTGTGATTTTGGAAGGGCTCAGAAGTAACACAGGGAGACATTAATTATTATGTGATATCTTGTCCACAAGCATCAAAAAGGTATTAGAAATCTGGGTCAGATTTGGATTGTCTACAACTGCTCCCCGAATCATTTTAGCAATCCTAGCCCCAGAGCTGACCTGGCAGGGTTTCTCCAAGTTTGCTTCACTCTGGTCATGACACTCTGTCCTCACAATGTCAAGTTAGTTACAATGAAGGCTAGACAGAGCCCACCAAGCTTGAAGACTAACCACCCAACAGCTTGGAAGTGTCCATAACATCCATGCTTCAGGAAAGGTGGTCCTAAAAGCCAGTGTTGGAGATGTCATGTTTTAAAAAATAAAACTATAGAAAATTGTCCTGAAGGATTGTCATCCTTTGCTTAGTGACTTCCCATTGTTGGAGCAAATTGACCATGAGATTAAAAGTTACCCTTCCCACAAAAACAATGAGGAGAAAGCTGCATGACAGCTGTGCATACACATTTTTGATACAGCATGTAAGTACTTGCTGTAGATCATACAGGAAAGGACACTTGCATTAGATCAATCAAATGATTCTAGGTATTTCTTTTGGTGTTTCACTTGAGGACAAAACATTCGAAAGGGCAACAAAACCACAGAAATGATAAGTTATTGGGCAAAATATTCAAGAAAAACAATCAAATTAATGGAGTGAGTGGGTGAGGGAGTCAGAATGGTTATTTGGCATCACGTGGAGGGTAATAAGCAATGATTGACTCTTTCACTGTTAGACCTACTCACTTCCTGCCATGTTAGATACAGAGTTAGATGATCTGGGATTTGAAGAAGCTTGGGTTACATGAGTCTTTAGGAAATTAAACATGCCAATAATACATGCAGGGTTTCTATGTTAAAGAACTGAGCATGCACTGTTATATACAGGTCTCGATATCCATGAATGGGAAAGGTACCTTGCACTCATCTACTATGACCGAGTTGTGTGCAGCATAGACACACTGGTTAGAGTTGCTTTCCCTGTGGTTCTTCATGTCATCATAAATGGACTGAGTCTTGGTCATTTCAATGTCTTCATGCACTCGGTGCTGGGAGTCAATGGAATCCAGCTCAGACTTGGAGAGGTGGTAGACAATCCCAGCCCCAAAAGAGTCACCCACGACATTGACTGATGTTCTCATCCTGTCCCTGGAGACAAAAAACAGAAATGTTTAGTGAAAAGGTGGTGATGATGTTGTGGATATGGAGAAAGATGACTGTGAGGGGAATTTAGGAGGCAGAATTATAGGACTGATTGGTTATAATGAGTGAAAGGGGAAAGAAGAAAGATTCCTCTCAAGTTTCTGATTTTTGGTAACCTGTGGGCAGTGCTGCCATGGGGCCCAAATGGTTGGGGTGGAAGAAATTCTGGTTTCAGCAAACATATTATCGTAAAGTCTGTGACCTAGCAAAGGGGAGATGTCCCACAAGCAATTAGGAATATGAACTAAAGATCAAGAGAGGCATCAGAGCTACAGGCAGTGAACCAGGAGTCCTCATCTAAAGATACCATTGCTAGATGCCACAGATGAGTTTAATTTATCCCTGAAGAGACAATCTATTCTAAAACCCTGAGGGTGGTCAATGTGAAGAAATGGGCAAAGGAAAACAAGTCTGCAAAGGTGGGGTCTAGAAAAGTTTGGGAAGCACATTTCAACAAGACTGTGGAAGACAATGTCCGCCACTGTCCAGAGGTTAGGTATGATCAGTAAAGAAGAGTCTCGGTTTCAGCAACACAGAGGCCATTGTTGACCTGGCAAGAGCAGTTTCAATAAAGAGACAGAACAGAAACCAGCTCACCAGAGGCAAAAAAAAAAAAAAAAATGAATGAGAGGAACGGAAGTGAAGACATTAGACATTATCTACTTAATCACTGAGTGAGAAGGTAAAGACAGAAAAGGCAGAAGAAAGATTTTGGGGGTTGCTTTTGAGACCACCAGGGGAATATCTGAGCAATTCTGGGGTAAGTCCAACTTCAGTGAAAAAGAGGAAGTGGGAACCTGTGTTACACACGTGGAACACTTCTCCATGGTCAAGTACTTTCACTTTCTCTTACAACCAGTGCTGACTATTCAGGAAATCATGCTAATGTCAAAAGCTTGTAGGCTACAGTCTTTTAGAGAGTCCACTGATATCCTCAGGTCTGGATGCAGAGTATGCGGACTGAGAAGGGGGTAGAGTGCAGAAGCTTTAGTTGAATGGATTCACATAGCATAAGAGGTCCACCGGGAACAAGAGAGGGGCTTGGCTGAACTGTTTACATGACAATGTAAACATGACTGTGGAAAGCTGAGGTCTAAAGCCACTTGGCATGAGGAAGGGCAGGAAGACCCATGGAGGCGTCTGTTAAGAGCATGACCTTTAGATTCAAGTCTGAATGGAAATGCTCCCTCCGGTGGGGCTTGTCACTTAGCCTTTCCAGTTCAGTTTTCTCATTTGTAAAATATGGGAAGATTCACAACCCTTCCAATGCTTACAGGGAATGGACACTGCTGATTGTGAAGTCCTCTGCCAAACTGTCCCCACAAAAAGACTAGCCTAGGACCCCAGTGTTCAAGACCAGTAGCTCACAATTATTACTGTTATTATTTGTCCAAGCGAAAAGAAAAGCAGGTCACTTCTCCTCTTCCACCAAGTCTTACACATTTCTCCTTTTGCACATAGAACACACTGTAGAGATTTTTTTCACCCACAACTGTGGTCAAAATCCTTTGAGGGATAAAGTCATGTTTTGACCACTTGTGACATGGTCTGAGTGGGGTGGGCAGGGGTGTGCAGGAGGGGAGGAGGTGGGTGGTTGGTCTAAGAGGCAACATCAGACTAGAAAAGTGTTATCCTGTGGAAACAAGTGCTTGGATATTTTGGGAGTTAAAAAGTATAGAAAGGGGACATGATTGGGGTGAGGGAGGGGATGTGGGCAGCCAAAATGATTTTGGATGAGGCAATGAGTGGGATCCTGACAGCTGGATGCAGTTGTGGATGTGTAGAACTGGAGTCTTCAGATACAGGGTGAACGTGGGAATCAGCTGCCTTCTGCGCCAGACATGGAGTGAGTTGTATATGTGCCTATGTGTTTTAGACAAAGGGATGAGAACCCAAACTGGCTTCCCTGGAACAATAGGGAATAGCCAAAACATCTGGATTTGAATCCCAGTATCATAATTTATAATTTATGAAATTGGGATATGTTTCATCACTCTAAGCCTGTTTTCCCCTGCTGTAACATGGGGATAACACTTAGCCACTTTATAATTGGCTGGGACTTTTTTTCTTTAACTCCATGTAAAGTGCCGAGGAGAATGTCTAACACTCACAGAACACTCACTACATGTCAGTTATTAGTCTCCTGGGTTCTTTTGATCTTGATTTCCACTGAGTAGAGATGTGAGCTACCAACTGGTACTCAAAAAAGGGTACCTATATCTACAATCAGAAACTCCTGCTCCCCTCTCCCTACCTCAAGGTCATGCCTTCTTGAAGTCAGGTCCCTGGGCTGTATCCACATCACCTGGGAACTGGTTAAAATGCCAATTCTTGGGCCCCACCCCAGGCCTCCTGAATGTCCAGGGGGGCTTGGGTGCATATTCAAGCTTGAGAACAATATTTCCTCCCTCCAAGGAGTCATGTGAACCCTGGGAGAGATCCAGAATCCCCCCTGGGGGCTAGGGGGAGGCCCCTTAAGGTCTTCCTTTTAGCTGCCATCTCAGTGACATCCCTCCAATGAGTGGAATTCACCTCTCCAGCAGTCTCATGTTATAAGTGGCTGTAGACCCCTCTGGGTTGCTCTTCCATTCAGCTCCTCTTTCCCTACCCGTGGCCAGACCCAATTATTAACTCTCCCTGGTGCCGGCTGCTACTCTTTGCTCCATCTGGCCCCCCGAGTAAGAGGGCTTAAGGGGTGTCTCTTATAAATATCTGCCAAGGATTCCTGACATGAAGGGCTTCTTGGACCCTGGCAGAAGCTCTAGTTTTACCAGCCCTCCTCATCTGTTGTTCCAGGACTTGAACATTTTGCAGGGTCCAGAACTGTGGTTTTCACCATGATATTATGGAGCAGCTAAGCCTGCTTGTTGAACAGCAGCCAGGGCCTGGCAGTAAAGAGGCTGGCTTGTCTCCAGCCATTGGCAAGCACAATAGCACATTAAATGTCACTGAAGGCTTTGTTTGCTTTTAAATTGAAAAATTGCTAGAGTTATGAAAGCTTACAAACCTCTTGTAGAAAGGGAAAAAAAAATTCCCCCTTTCCTATGTCTCTGCGTTTCCTTTACAGACTCATGCTAGGGAATAGCCAGTCAGTCCCCAGAACCTATCGCAACGTATCCCCTTGACCTCACTCACACTCTGAGGACACCCAGCAGCCACGGGCACATGGTTAAGACTGTGTTTCCAGAACTCCTTTTACTGGTGAGAAAGAATGTGCTGCCATTACTGATTCAAAGCAGATCTGACCTAGCTACAGACCACTGTTCACATTTTCCCAGGATGCTCGACACTCCTTTTTTCTTCTTTCTTAAAAGGAATGTTCAAGCTTATTTGTATACAAACATCTATCACGGCAGCATCCGAGTCTTAAAACCAAAAGGGCATTCAAGGGCACTGTGTCTAGACTCTGCTCTCAAACCGATAAGCTATTGTTCCCACCTGACACAGGATGCAAGCAGAGGAAGCCACTGGCCCAGCAGACAGTGGCTGAGACCCAGGGCTCCCGCCTCTTTGCCTTTCTCCCTTTGGTTATGTGGCCCCGTTCTGAGCGCAGACTCAGGAGTCGTCCTTGTTCCTCCTTCTTTTCCAGCTCTAGCCTGGGATCAGCTTTCTCAGAGACCTTTTTCACCAACGCAGTTAATCCAAATGTCTCATCAGTGTTTCTATCCAGCCAACTCCCTTCTGCTAGCAGGCTTCAGCCCTGGAGTTGGGGCACCCTGCTCTCCCTGCAAGTGTCAGCATGTGCGTGCCTGCATGGGGAGGTGGGGGGAGACCCAGTCCTCCTGTTTCATTTGCTAACATTTAGGTCAGGAATAGGCAGGGTCTTGGATATTCCAACAGACTTGGAGGCAAATGACTACTACTAAGAAGATTAGGCCCACCATTGCTGGCCCAAGGAAGCTGCAGGACTTGAATTCTGAGGGCCTGAGACCTTGACTGCACCCCATTTGTCTCTACTTAGGCCTTTTGTTTTGCTTTGTTTTAATCCTAGGAGGAGGTAAATCAGGTCAAACATAAATTTCCCTGCTCAGTAAGTAGAACCCTATAGGTGGAGAACACTGTCTCTGCCAGTCCGGACCTCCTTCCCAGTGGGCTCCTCCTTCCCACTGCCAGATCTGCTCTAACTAGGAAGCTATGTGGGGTGGGGTGAGAACGGCCACACAAGCTCTCTTGTGCCTCAGGGAAGAGACTTGATCCTTCTGACTCCCGAGTTTCCTCATCTGGAACCACACAGGGCTCTTTAGAGATTAATTGTCAACAGATGTAGAGAAAACTGAAGTTCCTTTTACTTCATTCTCTAAGCTATTAGTTCACTTCCCCACCCTCCCTCCATTAAAGGTATCTGCACCCTAAAGGGTGGGAGGTAGCAGCCTCTATAACAAAAACTTTTTAAAAGATGAGGCCCTGGCGGTCGACTTTGGTCTTAGAACGAAACCAAGAGGAGGAGACTACGTAGTGTCGCAGTAGGCAGACACTGCAGGAACTCCAGGAGCTCAAGGGGCAAAGAGGTGGGGACCTCAGAGTCACAGAGGAAGCAGATGCAATTTTAATAGCTTCTGCTGCCTTGGGCATGAACAGAGACAGTAGCATGCATTTCTTGAGCTCCTACTTTGTGCTCTGTCCCCATACTGTGTCGATGTCTTCAGCTTCCCTTTGTCCTCCTCTCTGACCAAATCCCACCCACTCCTTGTCTCCTCCCTCCAATTCCTTCCCAATCCTACCAAGTCTCACTCACCCCCGCAATGCCCTCATCTGAATAGAGGTCATGGAAATGCTGTTCTTTGTGCTGCACACAGGGCAGAGAAAGTTCGAGAACTAGCATGGGAGGAGCCTGCCACCACTACCTGACAAAGACAGGCCGACCCAGAGAGTTATTCAGTTTGCCCTTCACCTTCCCTGTTAAGGCAGTTCTAGAGCATTCTCTGTTGATGAAAGTATCCATGTGGCAGCTCCACAGCCTTCTTCACAGCACCCCAGGGTAGAGCAGATCATGCCCATGGAGACACTTTCCATCTCTAACCTAAACTCAACAGCAGGCAAGTTTCCTGGGAGACCAGGCTTCTTTGCGGCTTTCGTGCAAGTGCCTCTTCCCTCTTTGGAGGAACATAGAGGGCAGGAACTACTGTTACGAATGGAGATACTGCACATTCACATACTGGGCCTCTGGCTCTTAGAAATCCATGTCAACAGATGCCAGAACATTTCAGAAATACCACATGTGGTGCAGTTGGAAGAGTTAATGAGCATATTGGCCTTGGAATTTTGCACCAGCACTTGTCCTCACAGCTGTCACAGAAGCCAAAGCCTTTCCCCTCCTGAGAACAGCCGGCCACAGAGCACCAGAGCCCCGGTGGATCCCAGCAAGGATCCACTCCGGCCCCACTAGTGACTGCCTGGTTAGACTGGCTCGCCTTTGGGGCTGGGCAGTGAGGATCCTCTACTAAAAAATGTCCTCTGGGAAAGGTGGTTGGGTAATACCTACATAGTCAAGCTCAAGCTTCCCTGCCTGCTCTTGGAGACAGTCATCAGGCCCCATCGTTTGCCACTCCTTGGTGCCCCTGGTCCTGCAGCCATTGTGCAGACTGGTCTTGCACCCACACACCTGTGCACACCTGCTAAGCGCTGTCTATCAGTTATGATTCACCTCAATTATCGCCTCCTTTAGATGTCTGAACAGGGCTGTGATTCAAAACATGGTGACCTCTAAAACCAAGCATCCAGTCTGTTCATTCTCATGACACTTTACCACCCCAGCCTCCCACCAAGCCCTGGTTTCCTTGTCAATAAAATAGAAGTAATATCATCAGACTCCTAGGTTGTTACAAGAAGATGCAAATGCACCATCTAGGCACTGAGCACTCAAATTCAACAGGTTTTGTCTGTTTCCTAATTTCTCTACTCTGGACTGATTTACAACAAAATGTACCCATTTCAAGTGCATGCCTTGATGTGGTTTTGGAAAGGCAGTTCTTGTACATACTTGTGTGGAGGGGCTATTTCTATCACTCCTACAGGTTCTCCTGAAGCCCGTCCCAGTTCATCTTCACACCCATATTGCTGGATGCAGGCAGTCACTACTTTCCTTCCATTGCTAGAGGTCAATTTGCCTTTCCTGGGGCGGCACATAGATGGAATCATACAGAACAGATACTCTGTGCTTCAGGCACTCACCATGATGTGTTAAGATCCTTTTCATATGCCAGCAGTTGGTTTCTTATTGTTATAGTTTTAACTTTTTATTATCATTTATCTGATCCTTTTCCTGGAATATAAAGCCCTCAAAGATTCTTTCTCTTCTTTGGTTCCTATGTAGGAGTTCAGCAGTGTCAGAGGGAAAAAGGGAGGGAGGGAGGTAGTGGAGGGACTGTCATAGGAAATGGCTAAAATCTTGGTGACACCCTGACTTCCTGTCCACTCTGGGCACAGGATTCACGTCCCCAGCAGAACCCCATGTGAAGACACTTACAGCAGCCAGTCCACAGCCACCAGCAGGCTGATGTCCTCTGTCGGCAGGCCCACAGCTGTCAGAATGAGGAGCATGGTGACCAGTCCGGCGCTGGGGATACTGGCCGCACCAACACTCGCCAGCGTGGCCGTGAGGCTGTGAGAACAGACAAAACTAGGTCACAGGGAGAGAAAGAGGCCTTGGCAAAACCTTGCTGTCAATTTTAAGTTCTAATTTTCACCCAAATGATAAAAGCCTTGGTCCCTGCCAAGCACTAGAGAAATCTAGAATTCCAAGACCCAGCAATTAGGGTTTATTTGGATTTTGCTCAACTGTGATAGAAACTTATAAATTCATGGATTGGCGCCTTATCCAATCATGACATTCAGTGAGCCTATTATCTCACAGCATTCAAATAAGTAAGTGTGCTCTCGAGCAGGCAAGGGGCTATTTGAGAAGAAAAACAAACCACCCTGACTTCTCCCATGAGACCACCACGGCTTCATTTCTGCTTATGTCTTTACATCTCTGTGAGCACCAGAGATGTTTCAACTATGCAGCGAGTCTGAGGAGGTCACTGCCAATGTTAACATGGGGCCTCAAAATAGCAATTATCCAGACCCACTTGATTGAGTATCGGGGGAACAAATCAGCAGATTCCAAATGACATTTCGTTCAGACGCCTGGATGTTTCTCCCTGGACTGAAAAATACATTATTCAGGGGGAAAAAAATATTGCCAAGAAATGAGCATGAAATAGCAGAAGGCTTTTTTCTCTGAAGCATCTCATCATTTTCTTTCCAAACGATGCCGAAGGCACACCCAGCACCATTGTGAAGTTGTCACTTGGAAGGGAGCTGATCTGGGGTCCCAGTGTCCTGACTAAATACACAGAATCTCTAAGGCCAGCAAAAGGCAATGACCCCCCCCTGCGCTTTTCTGGACTCCATTGACAAACCTGTCATTTCTAAATGGAAGGAAGCTTCTGAAAATACTGGTTCACAGACACATTGCACTGTCTTTGACAATTCTATAGTTTCTGGAGTACTTCTCTGACTCCAGCTAAGAACCAGGCTCCCAATATGGCTTAGCCAAGCCTGCAGAGTTCTAATTGCTGTGACCAAGTCTAGAATCCTGGGGTCTTCAATTGTGTGGGAACTAAATTACCTAACTTCACTTATGAGGGAACAAAGAGCTTTGTGGTTTGCACTATATATATATATATTTTTCCCTTTTTCCCATTCTCCCCAGACTTAGGCTTGCACTACATGGGCAGCTTCCCTGGATAAATATGTAGAACCATCTCTAATTGAGTAGAGTTGAATACCAGGAGTTGGTGTCAGGGTTTTGAGAACTCCACTTTCTTTGGGTCACTCTGAGTAATAAGTTTGGGCAACTTAACTAAAAAAAAAAGATTTATTTATTTATATATACAGAACTGGGGTACAGGCCAGAGGGGTGGGGGGCGAGAAGATTCACCAGAGACAGAGTGGGGAGCAGATCTGGCAGGCTGACTGAAATACACTGCTGAGGGGAGCTGCGGGCAGGTTAGGAGAGGTCTGGCATGCCATGTGGGTCAGCTCCCTGGCTGGGGATCAAACTTGTGCTGCAGTGGCTGGGGTACCTTCATTGTGCTGTGCTTTGACCCGTTGCACCACCAGAGTGCCCTGGGCAACTTACTTAGCCTCTTTGTGCCTTGATTTATTGATCTGTAAAAGTGCAAACAATAATGGTGTCTCACTCAGAAGCCATCAGGCATTAATAAGTAAAACACTTAGAAGAGGCAGGCATATTGTAATTTCCCCAATAAATGTGAATTGTTATTCTTTTCTTGAAACCTGTTCAGGGTGAGGCTGCTTTGCAATGAAAACTTCCCTAAAGCCCTGAGAGCTAGAAAGTGGGAATTCTCAGCGATTTCCCCTGAGATGTCTAGGGAAGGGGAAATTCCCAAGGTTCAACGTTGGCCTCGACCGTTTTATTTACAACATCATTTGCTTCTGTTATGAGTCAGTCTTACACATCTGTGTGCTGTGACCATGTTGTCTGGTTAATCCTTGGTTGTATGAGACAAAATCCTATAAAAAGAATGTTTCCTGGCAGGTAATTTCCCCTTTTTAGTTCCCCTTTATCTTCGATCCCAATAATATACTCATTCTGCCTGCAGAGTTCTAAATCCTGTAACAATTCCCTGGACAGTGATCTCCTCCTTGTCCATTTACGATGTTCTACTTTTCCTGCCTTTCCACTCCCCAAACTCACATCTCTAGTGCTGGGTGTTGGATACTGTGCACAGCTCATCATCACTGCAGAAACTCACAAAGCCCTCCAAGGTGTGTACGGTAGATACTCTTCATACCCAAGAGGAGACCAAAGATTGAAAGGCAGAGAAATTTAAGGGTACCCAACTTGGACATGGCCTGTTAGCATCTGAACACTTGTCTGCTTGGTTTCAATGCCATGTTGACTCTTCTTGTCTTTTGATCCTGGTGTCTCTTGAAAACTCCATCACTTGGTCACTGGTCCTTCTGCCATCAGTAAGTTCTCTCTAATACATGACCTTGCTGGGTAATGTCCTTGCCATCAGACTAAAAGTTCAGAGACCAGAAGTCATCTTTGCTTCCTCTTTGAGTTTTAAGGGAGACTGGCAGGCTCACATGAAGTCTGTTAGGACCTGACTTAGAAGGTTGTTTATTCTGACTCTAGCATGCATTCCACTGATAACATCATGGTCCTCATGACATCACCATCACATTATTCTTTTGTTCAAGGAACATTGTGAACTTTATTGTCCATCAATAGCAGTAATGACAGTAGTAGCTAACATTTGTTGACAGGTAACCATGGACCAGACACAGTGTTCCCAAGTCCCCAGGATGCGTGATTACTGTGCTTATTATACAGATGAGGAAAAGGGGGCTCCCCTACAAAACTTCTAAGGACTGAGGTTTTATCCTCAAAATTCACTTGCTGAATCTCTCATTTCCAATGTGATGGCACTGGACATGAGGCCTTGGGAAATAATTAGCTTTTGAGAGTGGACTTCTTATGATGGAATTAGTCCCCTTACAAAAGGAGACATAAGTGCTCTCACTCTCCTTCCCTCAATCACTCTGTCTACTTTCCTCATTTTCTATACACTAAGAAAAGGCTGTGTGAGCAAACAGAGAGGAATTTCTTGGGAAAGCCAGCAAGAAGGCATTCACCTGTAGCAGAATCTATGGGCAATTTGATCCTGGACATCCCAAACTCCAGAACTGTGAGAAATAAATGTCTGGTTTTTAAACTTCAGCACGAGTTCAATCCCCAGCTAGGGAGGTGACCCACATGGCGCAGCAGACCTCTCCTGACCCGCCCATTACTCCCGCCAGCAGTGTACTTGGTCAATCTGCCTGTTCTGCTCCATCCTCTGTCTCTGGTGAGTCCTCTTACTCCCTGTATCTCTGGCTTGTACCCCAGTTCTGTATACATAAATAAATTAATCTTAAAAAAAAAAAGAAGAAGAAATGGGGAAGCAATTACTTCTAACAATCTCTTGGGAAATTATTTGTTATGAAATTTTTAAATGATAAATACAATCAATTAGCTTTAGTAAAAGCAAAAAATAAAATAAAATAAAATACTTGCTATTTACTTGTGCTAAAATGGTTTATGTTATATTGAGGAATATCTTGCTTCCAGTGCTTCATCACTTCTGCCTTCACCCCCTGGAATACTGAAATGAGCATGTTTTTTTGTTTTGTTTTTTTAAAGATTTATTTATTTGTGCATACAGAACTAGGGTACAGGCCAGAGGTGCAGGGGTGGTGAGAGGACTCACCAGAGACAGAGCGGGGAACAGAACAGGCATATCAACGAATACACTGCTGAGAGGAGCAGCGGGTGGGTCAGGAGAGGTCTGCCACGCCATGTGGTCACCTCTGGGGCAGGCGGGAATCAAACTCATGTGGAAGTGGCTTTAGC